AGTTTATTCTGATGCTTGTTAAATGGTAAGGAGGACTTAATTCAGGACTATTGCAAAGGTGTTAAGACTATTACAATAGGGATGAGAGATGGGACTCAACTTTGAATACAGCAAAGACATCTGGGGATTTACAGCCAGTGAGCACACTGAGGAGGTCAGTGGATGGAAACATGCTAAGAGAAGAAGTTAAGTGTAGGAGGATTCTTGCTAAACCAATTTAATGGGAATCTTAATTTAGATAGGACAAGATGATGAGATACCAAGGGTTGGGGATGAGAAATTTGATCTTCATCAAGGGTAGGGAATTCTGGGAAAACCAAGATGGCAGCATAGGTAAACACCGGAAATTGCTGCCTCCCACAACAAATTCAAAAATACAACTAAAAGACAAAACGGACATCATCCAGAACTACAGGAAGGCTGGCTGAGTGGAAATTCTACAACTAGAAGGAAAGAGAAAAGCACACTGAGACTCAGATGAGCTGCAGAGGTGGAGTGCAGAGGTACAGAGGCGCACGCGGCAAGGGCTGGCGACTGAGGACGGGGCTGTCTTTTTGAATCGGGAGGGAGCCACAAGCCCCTGACTGCTCTGAACTCCAGTTCCGGGTGAGTCTTTGGGGACCTAGACTCATATGGGAAGAAACTGGACTGTCTGGCAGCAGGCAGAACTCGGAACTCGAGGGCGGCTTTCTCTCAAAGGTGCTTGCAGCAATTACCGGGAAACTGAGACGCGGGGCCCCTTAGGGCAGGGCTGAGGATCAGCCATAGCTGCTTGCTCCGCTCTGTTGATCCCCTGAGACCCTGCCCCACCCAAGCTGCAGCAGAGGCTTTTGCATATGAATGGGCTGGCCCTTTGCAATCTGAAAATTACCTAACAAACTGCAGCTGGGCCAGACAGACCCAGAACTTCCAAGAGAAGGCCCAAGGCCCCACATCAGCTTGCATTGCTTCACAGCTGGGCCTCATTTGGGCACCTCCAAACCCCAAACAAGGAAGGGGAATCTGC